AAAGCAATTGGGGCCAGCGCCAGAGGGGTCGGAGCCACTAGGGCCAACATTAGAGGGATTGAAGCTACAAGAGCCAACACTATAGTTGATAATTTGGGCCAAGCCTGATGGGTTAGCCTGAACCAGCCCTAAAAATTTAGACCCAAGCCCAAAAAAATAATAATTTTTTTATTATTCGGGCCTATTCGGGTAGCCCGAATAGGCTGAGAAAATTCAGGCCAAGCCCGATCAGGTTCAGGCTTGGCCCAAATACCCGAATAGAAAAAAATAAATTTTTAAAAAATATATAATATAATAAATATTAATTATTTTTAAAGTTTTATATCATTTTATTCTAAAATATTATATATCTGAGTATATTACTATATTTATTTTATAAAAATAAAAATATTTATATTTTTATTATTTTTAATTAAATAAAATATCTTAAAATAATAATTAAAATATATTTTAATATTTATTTTTATATTTTAAGATTCAATTTTTTCAAAAAAAATTTGAGTCATATACATCATTTTCTTGTCCAAAAAATTATATTTTATATTTTTTATAAAAAAATAATTAATTTTAAATTAAAAATAATTTTAAAAATAAAATTTGGGCATGTATGAATTTTTGGCTCTACTACTAAACAAACATAATAAATAAAATAATATTTTTAAATAATTATTTAATTATCATCCATGCCAGACTTCGTTAAAAATTAAGAATAAACTAAAGTAAATACTCTTTGTATATAGGGCTTAAACAATATAAAAGATTAAAAAAATTTAAAAAATAATGTTTTACCCATAACTAAATGATTTTGTTTTATATAATACAGTGATGGCTATTTTTCTCATATTTTTAAAAATAAAAAGTACAATTTATCTAATAGTTATTAAAAACTTTGAGTTAATCAGGGCAATGATTTTAAATTAGTGGTTTAATCGTAGTTAAATTGAGAGTAACTTGATCATAATTAAAATAATATAATTCAATTAAAATATATAAATATTTTTATATAACCATGATAAGGGCAATATTTAAACAAATAAAACATTAATTTATAAGTAAAGGAAACATTCATGAATAAATAGCACATAATACAATAAAATAATAACAGAGTTACTTAAGTAATTAACTATAAAGTTAATAAGTTATTATTTTTTTATTCCTTTCAAGTTAAAATAATATTTTATACTTAATAAAATTATTTAAAAATTAAAATTAATTTAAAAAATAAAAAAATATTTTTTAAAAAAGTTTTGGGTATTCGGGCCAGCCCGAATAAACCCAAAGACATTAGGGCCGAACATGGCTATATAGGTTTTTTAAAAAGAGTAGGATTCTTTAAGTTCGATTCGAACAAGCCTGGCCCGAATTGAACCAGACTCGAATAAGCCTGGCCTGCTCAAATTATTGGCTTTAGCCAGCACCAAAGGAGCCACAAGGGCCACAGTTAGGAAGGTGATCTTTGCAAGAGCCCTTTCTAAAGGAGCTCTCTTCCAAAGGGCTCTTTCCGCAGGGCAAAAGTTACAAGGTTAAGCCCTGCAGTAACTAAATTTTACAGAATTAATTTTTAAAGTTTAAAAACTTGAAGGGTCAATTCTAAAACTAGTTCTTGAGGTCCCAAACCTTAAAAAACTTGATCCTAAGCTAGGCCACATGGTCCCTAATCCTCAACCACAAGAGTGTCCTTCAAATAAAGTACCAGATCAACCATCAATCAGAACGGGAATAAGTCAGTCCTGTAAGACATATTACTCAAGCAATAATTGAAAGTGGGGTCAATGGAAATATCCATACAAAATTGGTCTATGAAGGCTTCGGCCAATTTGTATGCAGGGGTATTGTTTGCACCCAAATTATGAATTTGAAGGCTTAGGCTCAACTCAACTCAATTGGTTTTAAAATAATTAAAAAATATTTATGAAGCTTTAGCTACTAAGTCAAGATCATCCACACTCCACCCATGATGAGTAACCATGATGGAGAAAGTGGTTCATAAATTTAAGGAAACTGACGATTATGGGGCTTGACATCAAGTTAGGATCATCTATAAATAAAGAAACTCTCTCTCAATAAGTATCATCAACATCAATAAACTATCAGTCTTAGATTTTGTGTTTGCTACTTTATTTTATTTTTTCTTTTATCATGTAGTTTTAGTTTTTATTTTTCATTGTACAGCCAGCATAACCTTGCCACCTCTTTCTTTAATTAATGTATCTTTGTTTTTCTATATCTACATTAATTTTCTTCACTTCATATTCTCACATCTAGGTGAATTGTGATAAGGGAGCTTGGGTTTCTCGTGTTTGATTAGAAGTCAAGTTCTTCCATCCTTTTGAGACCCCACATCTCTAGCACACCTCATGACCACCTTTTAGTTTTCCTAAACAATAACTAAAAAAAGTAAGTCCAATTGGTAAAAATTTCATATACAACTCATATAATGTGTGATCAAATATTACTGTTGATATGAGGATTTTATTAATGAATGATCTAATTTTAATGTTGATAAGTTCGTGTTTTACATAAATTAATATATATATATATATATATATACACATACATATATTCTTCTTTTTTATTTACTAAATTATATGTAAATTAATATAAATTTAAATAAAATACCTTACTCGATGAATTTTTAGACATTTTCAAAAAAAAAGAAGCAAAAAGAACATATATTTTTATATATAAAGTAAAAAATGTGAAGTACTAAATTAAAGCTCAAGAAATAAGTTCAAAAAGAGTTGCCTGCTCGCGAGCAAGTGAAAAAAAAAAGTTGTCTGACATAATTGAGCATGAGGAAATCATCACTTGGACGTTCATCTGCATGCGGATATTGCATGAAGAACATACGACCATAAGTGAACATAATGCTTAACAGGGCACAACACTCGACCATGCATGGAAGGGGTCATAAAGATAGGCTCTGTGCCGTTCATCCATGCGTGGACATAGGGAAGAGCTCGACCACGCACAGACGTAAGGGAAAACACATGGTAGAAGCCGATTTACGGAATTAAACAATATTTTATAAAATTAGATGAAATTAAACAAAAATTAGATGCCAACGAGGTGCGAAAAAGTTATAACTAAAACCCTAGCAGACTTCTAAAATATGCAAGTTTAGATTTGAAACTGGAAAGGCAATTCTTGAATATCAATCAAAAGTTTGGAGGTTAGATTAAAGATTTTTTTTTGACCAAAAGTTTAGATTAAAGATTAAAAAGTCATTGTGGAGTGTCCTCAAAGAATTTTGTCTGGATTCTCTTCTTCTTCTACTCTATGTCTTTAACTCTGTGTGTTGTTTTTTAATTATTTTACATGTTTAGAGGAAATAGAGGCTAGTTTTTTTTTTTTATCTTTTGGGATTCCATGAACCTTTAATATTTTGTAGATAAATTTTTCTTTAATTATCTATTTTGATGAATGATTTAATGCTTAATAAGATTTGTTTTTGTTCTCATACTATTGGTGGCCAATTTTAGTGTATGTTTGAATCTTGGTTTTTACCTTCAACATAAGGAAATCTCAAATAAATCACGTATTAAATAACTTAGGATTGGATTTAATATAATTTAAGCTTGAGATATAAAAATACTCAAGGATAGTTTTAGGTAACCTTTTGAGGTTTACACATAATTAGATTAGGATTTGCTTGAGACATCACAATATAGTTAGATTACGGGTTTTATAATCAATGAATACATAATCTAATTTAAATCCTTGATTATAAAGTTAAATTAAAATGCAATAACAAGAAGAAATTGAATTGTAAAGTATAAAATGGGATTAAAATTTCTAGGGAGCTCTTTAATTATTGATCTTAACTCAAATTTATTTTTTGAATTTAATTTTGTTTTAAATTTTTTAAGTTATATCTAAAGTGTATTTCTAAAATTACTTTTTATAAGAGAGAAAAGTAATATGATATTACTTTTTGATTTTTTTTACATAGGAGCATTTTTAAAATTTTACATGCGTTTATTCCTTTTTTTTTTTACATTGGTATTAATAAGTTTAATAAAAAATGACTTATAAAAAAGAGTCAAGGGAATATTAGACAAATTATAGGGAGCGTTTGATTATTAGTATGAAATGTATTGAAAAAAAAAAGATAAAAATGAACTAAATTACCTTTCTTTCATAAAAAGCATGATAAAATTTATTAATATATATTACAAATGCAAGAATTATCATACTCTCTAAAAATTTTATGAATTATGATTCTAAATTCTATAAACTAAATTACTTATCATCTTCATGAATGTGCTCATCTATCCTTTTTGATCATCTTATTTTTTTATTTTTTTCAATTCATTCCATTCTTTTTAATATATAACCAAACCGGACCATAGTTTTAAATGCATCACGCATTAAACTAACGAAAATGAAGCCTGGCACTAGGAGAGCAACAAGAAGTGATCTCTAGTGCATAAGGCATTGTGCAATTAGCTTGCCCCAAATCAATTAAATTATGAATTACTCCTTCCATCTTTATATATAAGAGATTTTTTAAATTTTAAAATCTATTTTTGTCTCTAAATATAAGAGATTGTAAATATATTTTTAATGAATGAACCATTATATTCTTTTTAAATAGAAAAGAGAGAAAAATAAACACTCTCAATAATTTATTAAAAAAATTATTTATATTTATAATATAATAATTAGAAGTAAAATTAAAATGTTGCTGTGCTTTAATTAAATAATTAATTGTTATTAATTTGTGTGATTTAAGTTAAAAATATTTTATATATAAAGATGAAAGGAGTAAACAATCAAGCATTGCATAGCCAAATGGGGCCTCCAATCTCATTTTAAAATTCAGATTCCAGATAGCTGCAACACATCCTATGAGATTATATTCCATATATTTCATCTTTAATTATGAAGCAAATGAAGCTTCTAGAGTGTCTCCCTATTGGCTCATTCCCATCCAACCAACCTAAACAATTAGTTTAATTATCTCGGTCTTTGTTAAATCGAACCCAATTTGTATGTATGTTATTCACAGATACATTCGCACGATGAAAACCATATGCAAACACACCTGAATTATTACAACTTTTTTTGTTCATTCTATTTACATTTTTATTGTGAACATTAGAGCATACGCACAATATTGTTATATAATTATACACATTTTTATTCCCGTGAACATCACACCCAAGCTGTTTTGTCGTTTCAAGCTCCAACAGCTGCGGTTGTTGCAGTGATGATAGAATTGAATTCGCCCTTAGCAGTTGCGGCTGTCCTTTGATCTTGACCGTCAGATTGGCATCCCCATATTTTTGGAAGCACCCGTGCCGGTTAGTTCACACACTCCACTGCATAATCTGCTTCTTTGCTTTTCATTCTCTTCCCAACCTTCGGAAAATAATCAACCCCTTACTATTAATTAATATTACTAGTAATAACTGTGAAGCTGCATACAGGTGGCACCATTATAGACCATATACTTTTTTTAATTACCAGAACAGTGTGGAGGCCCATTGCTTTCTCGCTGCAATGTTAACCGCGTTGTCATCTAGAAATAGCCGCATATTCCATTATTTAACCTAAATGATACATTGAAGAATCTTATAACAAATTTTTAAATTTTGTGCGTTGATTAATTAGCATGATTTATCTCATCTTTACCGTATGATGAGGATCTACTTTGGTAGCACGGAGTGTGATCTCCATGGCCTCCGGCGACGGCTTTTGGAGGACGGGGAACTCATCGAGTTGTGTCGACTTGCAGAGGTTCGGGTTCATGGTCTCGAAGCATATGATTTGCTGAAAGCACTCGCAAATCCTGAGCTGATTCAGCACCTTCATCGCGTGAAATGTATCCAAATTTGTGAATATCTGAAACATTTTCCCCCTGAGGGTTGGGGTTCAATCGCTTAGAAGAAGACGAGAACGAAACTTACATTTAAAAAAATATAAGTTTTCTTTATTTGATGCTGCGAAGGAGGCTGTGCAGCTGAATGTCAGGTTTGATGGACTCGTAAGGTAACCTTCCGTGCACGAAACTAGTGGTTCAAGATTGGGAGAAAAATAACAAAATTAATTTCCCATTACATTGTTCGAGTAAAAGAATTCTTTTTTGTTTTTTGTTTTTTGTTTTTTTTGTTTTTGGAGGAAATGAGGAATTCATCTCGGAAAAAGAATGAAGAAGTAAAAGAATGTTGAGATGGGGTAGTAATCACCTGTGGTAATCTTCGACAGTGATGTCATAGCCCAGTGCCTGGAAGAAAAGAAATAAAATTGAGTACAAGAGTGGGAGATAAATGCAAAAGGTGAGATGGATGAAGAGAGGAGATAATATTATATACTCGTAAACTAGTGAGGGTGCTTCCGTATGTTCTGAAAAGTTAGTGTGAAGGCCCGAAGCTTTGCTCCGAGGGAATCCACATTTTTCCACCAGGAAAACTGCATGCGAATTAAACGGTCACACATAATAAAATGTGTAGATTGTCAAGTAATGTATTATGCGTAATTGGTAACTAAAGTAAAGAAAGAAAGAAAGAAAGAATTAAACCTTCAATATGTTTCTTGAGAGCTTCACCAATTCCAGTAACGGTGGGATATAGAGTGTTATCCAAATCTGCTTAATTTCCAAAAATGATTAAGCAAACGATTCGTTTGTAGTGCATATATGAAAATAAAGAGATGCAGGGAAGGAGTGAGAAAGAGTTACCAAAAATGATGCAGTCGAAGGGAGAAGAAGGAGATAGAAAGGAGAGGGATGGAAGGTGAATTTAAAGGAAAGAGGGCGGTGACGTGCTGACCAGGAGTGAGGGAAGGTGCATTAACTGTAGGGGTAAAATTGGGAAGCCAAAATTTAGATTCCAAGTCACAAATGCATAACTAGCCATTATCAATTATTGGTACCCGCTGAGCTAATTAATTGGCATAATTGAATGCACCGACAATTCTCATTACCGTTTTTGCCTTTCTGAAATTTTTTTGGGCCTAAATTGCCTTTCTGAATTCAGATGTGCTTATTTGATAGGATATATAGGATCTTGCCTGTTTTTTCCTTTTCTTTTTTTAATCACTACTAGATATTACTTTAATTTTTTTTATGATATATAGTATTTTAGGTAAAAAGAAAAGATATTAAGCATGGCCAAATTGAGATATTTTTAAAATGACAAAAGCATGAATATCAAAGGTTTTGATGGTGATGGGGATTGAATGCAACAGAGATTGAAGAGTGTGGTTCAGCGTCAAGTCTCCAGTGATAAAAAAAGAGGCACCAAGCCAGACTAATGACAAGAGAGGCATCCTCAATAATGTAACTAACTTGTCTTTTATATATGTTATTGGTCAGTAGCATGCCTGATTATTTATCATTTATGTATTTACATGATAAAAAAGTAGAAAAAATTGCTGAAGAAAAACTTGACCAACAAATTTATTGTCTTAAAGACATGAAATTTGTATAAGACTCAGGTCCTTGAGAGGGATAAAGAATGATAGTTAAATGACTAAAATGCCCCCACTACGTGCATTGCTACATAGAACAATTTTTACTTGGATTTGTCACTTTGCCATTGTCGTCTTCCACAGCTACGTCCACATCCCATGAACCAGGAATGAGTGGCCTCTCTTGCTTATTCTCCTCGTGGATGTTGAAGGTCATTATTGAGCTTTGCTTGTGGCGATGAGGAATTAGGTCCTTTGTCAAAATTGAAGGAATTGAGCAACTCCTTATCCCTTTCGCCAAGCAAATTTAGTAGATCCTTATGACAAAGATATTAGATCACTGCTTCAACATTCCAAGGACTCGTTTCATGTAGTAGAAGTTTCTTTTTTAGTTTTGCAATGAGTTCCCCAATGAGGATCGATGGCAATAGCTTGATTCAACATTGGGATATCGGATTGTTGGATGGATTTGTGAAAAATTCATTAGATTCACGCTTGGATTACAATTCACCAAGTTTCGAGCTGTGTGGTGATGACTTAGATTTGGGTGTGGCAATTCTTGTGGTGCCCTGTTAAATCATAAGATCTTTCGTGAAGAATTCGTTCCATGTCCCTTGGGTATGGCAATTTTATCTTTTTATTTTTTTAAATCAACAATTTTTCTTGATATTGAAACCATTTTCTTAAGTAGTGTACATCATGTTTCATAAGGGAACATTTTTCTTAGAAATTACGCATTCACATTCGTATCTTAAATGATCTAGGATCTAGTCTATTTCTTCAGAGGATTCCATTCTTGCATATAAGAAAGATTGGATGAAAATACCAGATTAAACTTATGTAAATGCATTGCTTGATTATAGAGTGTAAATGTAGTGGTGTATTGACTAAATGACTAGTTTCTTCTTATATATGAGCATTATTTTGAGATTTGATGTTTACTCTTGAGAATCCAGCTCTGCAATTTACATCCATCATACCTTTTGCCTGTTGCCCTGCTTGTTATCCATTATATAGTGCATGTGTGTGACATCAGTAGCCTTTTAATTTGTTAGATGAGTTGAAATTGTTCTAGCTTGTGTTTGACATCCTAAGTATGATAAGTTATAAATTTTTGGAGTGCCATGACTGATTTTACAGTTTCATGAAAGAAGTTGCAAAATTTGAGAGTAACTATAACCGTAGGAAATGGCTTCACATGCATGGGTGTGTTTGTGGTTTTCTACTTTTCATCATGCTGCTAAATGTTAGTGGATTGCAATAAAGTTAGTAGTACAACCTAATCTTGGCTAATGGCTAGCCCTTCAAGTTTGAATTGTCAATTTGTAGACATTGATATATTTGTTCTTCTTGATCTTGATGCATCAAATTTGAATACATGCATAAGTTTGTTTGTGGTTTGTTGCTTCACAATTCTTAGTAGGCTACTGAATATGATCATCAATCTTTGCTTTAACACTGCCTTTTACTTTGAAGAGTTTATCTTTTAGGCCATCTACTACCCTTTTGTTATACTCATACATTTCACATTTGTGTCCTATTAAAATTAGTATAAGATCTACCAATTTTATACTTTGACATCGAATTTACCTATTAAAATGCATATGCAAATGCATCATATTCTTAGACTTCAAGATCGAATTTACCAATTTCTATGTTCACTTACATATGTTAAAAATGCCTTTACTTGCTTTCAGTTTAAATCTAGCTACAACAAAAATAATAATGAAGTTTCTTGCTGCTGCAATTTATAATAGAAAAGTAAAAAATAAATGCCCCTCAATTGTTTTGTTCAAGAAAATTGGATTGGAAAGGAGCAAGTTGAGCATCAATGAAGGAAATAATGCAAAAGTAAAAGTTCATTGTTTGTCATACTTTTTTTTTGGGTGCTTCTTTGAAGTAATTGCATTGCATTTAAGTTTGTGTGTTTGTGTGTGTGTGTGTTTTTTTTTCAAGGGATGTAATATCTTGTAATGTAAGAACATAGTATTATTTATTGATAAATAAATTTCTTAGTATTCAATTATGTTTTTATGGTTTAATTAAGTTGGTGTGATTAATATTTACATGTAATAATAATGATCATTGAGAATATTCATTATTGTTTTCATAATATCCATTTGTGTTTTTATAAAAAAAATTAATAAATTTTCAGAATATCTTAAATCATTATCATAAAAAGTGAAGAATATCCATTTAGAATAAGAATATTGTTTTCAAAATATTCATGAACTTATCATGAAAATATTATCAAACAGAGGCTATGCTAAAATCGCAAACCTTGTTTTTCAAGATATTGTGAATGGTTTAAATGAAAAATGTGCTCTTATTTGAACATGCATAAAAAATATCATGAAAAACAATATGGTGAGTGCTTACAACATTTGCAAATTCATATGCAATGATGCTTTAGCTAAATGCAACACATTTTTTGTCATATGTAAGACTCTCCCATCATATGCAACACTCTCTTGTAGATGCAAATTTCTTGCACGATATGCAATACTTCTTCCATCATATGCAACACTCTCTCATGAATGCATATTTCTTCCATGATATGTAACACTTCTTCTGTCATATGCAACACTCTCCAACATATGTGACAATCTCCCATCATATGCAACACTGTCTCTCATGTACAAATTTTTTCTTGGATATGCAATGTTTCTTCCTTCATATGCAACACTTTCTTACATATTGTAAAATCACCTAATTTGCTCCACAAATTTAACAATAATAACATATATTACCATAATAAATAGGATTTAACTACCCTAGTTACCTTACCATGATAAATAGAGCTTAACTACAGTTAGAAGAGCTAATTATAATAGAAAAGAAAAGGACCAAAATTAAAGGTCAACTATGGTTATTGGAATTAAACTTGCAAATATAAATTAACAAAAGTATATATACATGTATCCTATTACGGTAAGAAAAAAATTCTACTACAGTTGAAAAGATTAAAACTAATTAATAATTACTTGTATACTATAAAAGTTTGGAACTTATCATTAATAGAGTATAATTTCACAAATATTTGGGACCCTAGGTAGAACAAGTATTTCCAAGATAATTCAAGGCCAAACAGGCATAACTCAAAGTTTTAAATATGTATAGAATCATGAGATATTCATATATAATTGAAATGATTGAAAACAATATTTTAAAAACCAATTTTCTAAAAATCAGAGTCATCTACTACAGTCCATAATGTGTTCGCTGTGCTTGATGATATTGAGGTTATTCCCCGCGACCAACACTACAATGCACTACGACGAGCCTCCTCTATCTTGTACACTGTGGTAAGGCAAATTGCACAGACATGACAACATAATTATGGTCAAAACATAGCACTAGGAGTAAACTTTCAATACACCTTGAGTCTCTATTGGATGTCTATTCAAAGTGATCTAAGTGGTCACAGAAAACTCAATCATTAAACTAACTAATAATGTTAGTTTCATTTCTAAAATATAATGTACAAAAGGTTGGACACCCATAACCAAACCACTCCTTTTTCATACTTTTAAAAACTCAAGGGAGTCTAAGGCCAACTTAAAGTGCCAAGAGCCTAAACAAAAACCTAGACCAAACCTCATGGACTTAAGACTACTTGTATAATGCACCACAACTTACATCAATCTCAAAATTATCAAAATCATAAGGGAGGTAAACTAGTTTAAATTCTCTAATATTATCTCATACATCTATTAAAATAATATAGATATATACTTGCACCAGTATTTAGACCTTATTTACACATTTATAGCTCATTCAACAAAGCCTAGGACACTAAATACAACCAAAAAGACACATATACCATCAAGCGGTGCAAGTACCAAAAAAGATTATCCTAGTTGGCAATTTTTCATCATCAATTGCATATATAAAATCAAAAGAAAGAAGCATACTATAAGAATCACAAATTCCTATACCTCAATGATTTTCCCTTATTCTTTTTTTTTTGGAATTAGTGCTTGTAAAATATAGAATAGGAGTAAGTACAGTCACTTAGAAAACAACATAACTTTAAATCATCTACATGCAAGTCAAATTAATTAAGGCATACAAATATGCATTTAAAGTTTGTTCAAGCATATAGATCAATGTCATGTCACATGATATCATCGATGCATAATCAAACACTCAAACACTCCTTATCTTATCTATATATAGCCAAATGAATTCATAGGCTGACAATTTAATAGGATCGAGTTCGTATGAATAGATGAATCCAAACTCAACAATCATGAGGAGCTACCCAGCCAAAAGGCTGTACTTACTTTCAAACCACAAATTCTCCCATTCTTAAAATCATTGGAGTGTTACAAGTCTTACCATTCACCCAGCAATGGGGAGGTTAAGGGCAAGGATCTAGGCAACCTATGTTCACATATATTTCTTGGCAAGATTTAGGAAGACCCAACCCTAAAACTAAGTCACCAAGGCTACACATGATATTGGTTATATTCCACATGAAAATTAAATACTAACTTGTCTTAAGGTAACCTCCTGCCTAAAATATGATCATGCAACATCAATTAAATCATTACCATACATACTAATAATCCTTAGCATAATCAAGCTAGCACAAGCATGTATATATTATCCTAATTTTTCATATCCAATCATTTAAGAATATAATAGCATTTTCAAAATCATTTGTCTTAATTGATGCAAAAAGGCCACACTTGTAATTCATTTTTTAAAATAATAAATGAGTTTATTTGAATAGAAAGCATAATATTCATATTTACAATACCATAACTAATCTAACATGCAATAATAAGACATAAAATTACCCAAGTTACCTCTAACATTTGAGAACTTAAAGGTTACCTTTAAAAATTTGCTTCTTGAGCATGTAATGAGCTTAAACAATGTGCCACAATATTAATCTACAAGTAATAATGATCATAATCACTAATCAACTACATAATTACCATTTCCAACTCCTAAACTCATACTTTAACAACCAAATTTCCTAACAACAAATCCAAACTCACATTCAATGAGTTTATTAACTTTATTTAACTCCTATTAGCTTAAGTAACAACTTATGTGTCATCCAACAATGCAAAATCTTACTAAAAGTGGTTAGGGTTTGTCAAAAACTTTAGATCTAAACTCACAACCTTCTTAATCCTCAAAACTAGGTTTGGAAATGTTAAAGAACTCCTATTAGTCCCAGTAGAACTAATGAGTTTGGACCCT